TTTATGCCATTGTTCCTGGGGTAACCTGTAGACTTCCCAGGTCTAGATACTATTCCGGCGGCTGAAACATACCAGCCTCACCCTGGAATGTAGCTCAGTATGAAGAAGAGGAAGAATTCTTGTGTGTTTGCCAGAAAATGTTACACAAGCTTTACTGCATGATATTCTCCATTAATCACAGATTCATCACTTAGTTACAATCTCATGAATACCAATGTAAGAAAACACTGAAGACACGCCAATCAACACACAAAAAACACCAATCTGGAGCTTAAGAGTTCAATGTGCAAAGGTTCCAGTCTAAGTACTTTGCGGGTGTGTGTATATGTGTGTGTGTATGTATAAAAAATATTATAGTGTTAGGTTTTATATAGGAACCCTGTAACCTTCACTGTCCTACTATTCCTATTTCGATGGTCTCATCAGGTTCCCCAGACCCTCCTTCGTATTTTCAAAAAGTGGCTTTATTTCATTCTGAAAAAATATATAAGGCAATGTTTCCCCCACATAAAGGTCTTTATAAAGCTATTGATTGAGTAGTTGTGATCTGTTTAGATGTGGTGGAATGAAGAGACTTTTTGAAAATCCCACTGAGTATTTGGAGATCCTACAATGAGTTACCGGGCCCTTCAGAGCTCACTGACTAGTTAACAGTTAGTTACTCTGGATAAACTCACCTCTATTATAGCACAACTGGAGGCTTAACCCAAGTTAAAGGGAAACTCTAATTTCTTCTACAAATTGTCCTCACAAACAAAATTTTGTGGGAGAACAGTATGTTTTCTACAATCTCTAGTGTCATCAGGGCTTATGGGAGCTGTACCGAAACCTGAACGTGAACAAATGTAATCTAGACCTGATATGCACGTGGGAAAGGTTGAGAATGAGTGGCATTTGTTAGAATAATTTTGACATTCCTGCGCTTGCATTGTGCAGGAGTCCAGGAGAAGGTGGACGTCTTTCTATGTTAGCAATGCAATGGCCGTTATTGAATGATCTATGACACACAGAATGCGTAGACTGGCTTGGAATGGGCGTTTTGTACGGATGTAGACCTGTGGTCGTTATGCATTATATGGTAAATGACTTTCTCCTGTGTATTTTACTGCTGCAGCAAATCTACATTTTACAGAAAGCAGA